TGTGCATGGGGTTTGCGTGGATATCAAACCACATGCACGCAAAGAAGAAATAAGCACTCGTGTGTGATATATTGGGGATCTGTAGTACTCTATTTTCACATGTAACATACCAAACATGCACATGAAGAGTCGTTCATGAGCATCTGTATGAAGAAAAGCTGCTTGTAGGAGTATTTACTGCATATGTGGACTTTTGGCAGAATACTGTCGCTATAGTAATGTGTTAAACCCATAAGACCCATCCATCCATCCATTTTCAAACACGCTTAATCCCAAGTGGGGTCATGAGGGGTGCTGGTGCCTATCTCCAGCTGTCAATGGGCGAAAGGCGGGGTCCACCCTGGACAGGTCGCCAGTGCATCGCAGGGCAACAGTCATGTTTTTGGACTGTGGGAGGAAGTCAGAGTACCCAGGGAGAACCCATGCATGCTCAGGGAGAACATGCAAACTCACCCATAAGACCATAAGAGATTTTTTAAACCAAAGTATTCAAATAGGAGCTCATAGGATCTCAATCTTTACTGGTCAAACCATTGGGTGTAAATCCTCTCTGTTGAAAAAAATACACACCAGCCCTCACACTGAGACAAAAATCTGTCCGATATGTCACTTTGAGAGACAGTGACATTCTTGGGGAAAAGCTGTTTGGTTTACTTTAGAAATCACTGTACTGCAGACAGGACTTTTCCACAGCGTTGCTACTTTGTGCACCGCTTCTCTTAAAGGGCAGCCAGCTCATCTTTTTTGATGACTGACAGTAGGATTTGTGGCAATAATGTCTTCAGGTGCCAGCGGACTGGGATTAAACATACTTCAATTTTAAAAACGGCAAAGTTGCCATGACAATGACCTTCAGTTTTTAGCTCAGATGGCGGACATGTGGCAAACCAATCCGACGGGAGCTTTTGCCATGATTGTGCTTTCAAATCCTGTATTGAATCTAAACCTGCCCTTGCATATGTGTGTGTTGGTGGAGAGTGAAGATGATATTTCAGCAATAGCTAGGCAGTGCATAAACAGGACAGCCCCACTTCAAAGTGAATCACGAGTTCAACTAAGGAAAATTTCAAGACACCTGCACATAATCCGGGACCCACTAACCCTGCATCAGAACCGTAAGTGTTAAAACAACTGCATCTGTTTTCAGTAGTCTATCCAAATAAACCTGATCAGGGCTGATGGGGGGCCTTATTGCACATTAGGACTTGGAAGTCTGGACCAAACAAACCTCATAGACTCACGGTTTGAGGTCAGTGTCTATCCCTCCACAGGGCAATGCCTTCACACTCTCACACCTGCCTGTCAAAGGAGAGAGGGGTAAGACATCACAAGAGGGAGCACGAGAAAAGGGAATACAAAGGGATTTGTGAAAAAAGGAAGAAGCAAGGGGGGAAAGTGGTTACATTTTTTTTCTTTTTTAAATAAAGCCCAAAGCCCACCAGACAGCAATAAAACTGTACAATGATTATCACTATTGACTAAAGCTAATCTCTGCTGAGCCCATGAGGCGTGGTCGGTCGATATGAACTGCAAGAGTTTTTTGAATTTGATGGCATGTTGTGACTCAATACAGGAAGTGTGACTAGACTGCCCCACAGTGGAGGATGTGAGTATTGCATAAGAATGAAAGAGGTGAGATGGGGGCATAGAGTAATGGCCCGCATCAGTAATGAAGGGACCCTACACACACTGTAAACGTATTGAATGTAATTTAAGTAATTTATAGACCTGGATAAATATGGCACATCTAACCTCTGTATAGGAAAATATTTTTTTCCAACCTCACTTACCTTTTCCATTAATCAAGGTTGAATTTATGCATCTTTTCTATTGATCTAATATCCAAGTATATCCATCCATAAACCTGTCAGTATGTCTGCTTATTTTCCTATAAAATTAATCATCTAGATAAAATCAACAGCATAAAACTAAATTTCAAATGCTCATCAAATGTGGTTTTATAACAGATAAACATTGTTTAACTTTAAGCCTCAGGAGAGACCTTGACTTAAACCTTATTGAAGATTCGATTTAGCTCTAACTCCACAAAATAAAGTGTAACAGTGTAAAAGTATTTTTGTTTAGGGACTTTTTGCCAAAGACTATCGAGTGTGTATCTGTATATTTGATCCAGAATGTGTTTTTTTATTCCTTTTACGTGAAAATAATGTACAAGTTAAAACTGAATAATTAACACAATGAATTCTTGTTTTCAGAAATTTTTGCTTGTATTGTTAAATTGTCAGACATTGACATAAATTATGATTAAACCTTTAACCATAACTTGACAGCAAGGACATGAGCATCTTTATGTTCTTACAATAGTTTACTCAAAATATTCACAATAATAAATGCACAAAGACTAAAGGGAAAATGAATATTCTATCCATATAACATTCACTATTTAGTTAGTTCAGATTGATAACTCTAAATTTGCATAAAGACACATTCACACCATTTAAATGCATGTATAATGCATATTAGCACAAATATTTCTGTAGTTAAAAAATGTAACCAACAGATGCAAACAGTCTCAACGTTTGTGTCATCCTGCAGAGGGGTGTGTTCAGATTCTGTTTATATTCCTCTCTATTCTTTAAGAAACTTGAAAATGAAGAAAATTAATCTCATCAGAGCAACACCTGCCCACTTCGGTGTAAAATGATTACACTTCAAGAGCTTTGACGTGACTCAGGTTGGTGATTGGCAGGAAAGAGGCTGATGACGGAATAACATGGAAGCTGAATAAACTCCTCAATGCCCTTTTTAGACACAGGAACATTTGATTTTGTGTAAATGTGTTCAAATACAGTGATTACTTTAAAATGTGGTTAAATTGTTTTTAGAATCTAAGATGATGAGTGGAAAATCAGAACTATGAAGTATTTGCACATAGTTATAGGCCGTTTACCAAGGATGTACGGAGTTATGGTTGGAAAAAAGTCGTAGTGTTTTTGGCATTCTTTTGGGAGTAAAGAATTGCCATCAGCCCACCCCTCACCTGTTGCTGCACAGCTACCATTTTTTGTTCTTTTGCTTAAAGGGAAAACAGATTTGTCTGTTTCCAAATATTTCCAGTAGCAAAAAAAAATAAAAAATACTGCAATGGTGTGAAAGCTCCCCATGGCTTATAAATGACACTGTTTCAGAAGCATATTTATCAGAATGTTGGGACCCGGCCCAACTTATAACCCTGTAGCCAGTAGGATTTGTGATTCTTCATCTACAGCTGAACAGCAAAAATAATAATAATAGTAGACTAATAATAATCTTAGAATATTTATTTGAAAAATTTTACAAACCATGTATTGAAATCCTCTTCTTTTACAAGCCTAGAATTGAACTGTTCCGCCTGTTAGATTTAAGTGTACTGCTTTAAAATCTTGATTCAGAAGTTCCACCTTAAACCCGACGCTGGACCCCAAACATCAAATATATTAACAATATATTTCCAGGGCATGCTCCAGACCTTTGTTTTTCTTTACAACAGCGGCTACATCACCATATGAAGGTCCCATCAATGATTGCAAGATTATGTAATTGAATGTTCTTTAACATTTCTATGCAAATAAAAGGATACTGTGATGTTTTTACTTAACATTATCAACCTGTATGAATCTCACTCTGGACAATTTCTAGTTGCTTCTAATGAAAGCCGATTCAAGATACGGCCAATTGACAGATTTAATATGAAACAGTTTATGAACATTGATCCATATATTATCTTGATGCCTTGCACTCATATAAATACTGTAACCAAAGTAAAGTGGAGTAGTGGTAAGAAGAATGTCATTAAGTGTGAAAATAGGCAGTCTCTTTGGCATTTTGTTGGCATTTCTATGTTGAATTGATTCTTGTTGGCATGGTTAGGTTGTCTGGTTGTCTTGTGAAAAACAAAGTCAGTGCAAAAGCAGCAGAAGGGGCAGCAGCCAATAGCTGAGTCCCAGCGGCGGTGAGGCGAAGCTTTTAACGTTGCAGTCGTCGCTGTAGCAGCAGTGAACTCTGACTCCTGGGGCTCTGTAGCCCTGACTGCTGGCCTGGCTGCAGAAAGACTTGTAGGAACAAGACTTCATCACACCACCTAATGAAACACACAGAAATACATGTGAGAGACGCATCCATTTAACGGCTGTCTCACAGAAGCCAATTAGAACGGCAGAACTGAAAACAGCTGTTGCGATAAAGCTCCCCGTTGCTACTGACAACTAATGCACACATTTATAGCAGACTCAAGTAATCTTCTGGGATGATAAATATTTTGAAATCTTTGTAGGTTGATAAGAAACTACTGTCAACTAGCACCAAGATATGAACCTTTCAATCAAACATAGGGAGACTGGACTCTTAAACTTAACTAAAAGCTATTCTCCTACATTTTAAATATTGCATGAACATAGAGACAAAAAATTAAATAAATAGTGAAAAATGTATTGTTAATGCATGTCTAAATCCTGGGGACATTTTTTTTTTTATTTAATAGGTTGTCTCTGGGGAAAATAATACCAAATTTTTTCTTATTGCTTTGCTGTGCACAAAGACAAAAAAAAGAAATAGTAAAATTTGAAAATTAAGTCTAATCCACTAAACACATTTAAATAGCATTGTTTTAATTTTGTGTGATTTCCTTAAATCTTTCACTTCTCTTTTTCTATTATGTGCTTTTGTGCCAAAAATAATTTCTTTGTTTCNGCAATAGACAACAGAAAAAAGTGAAGCAGCAAAGGTGATCTATCTGGTTTTGTTTTCCTCCTCAGGGTGTTTTTTTATTTCTATAAAAAAAAAAATTAAAACGTCTAACGAAAAACAAGCAAAAAATGTATTTTCCCCCCAATCACAAAAATAATAATAATAGTAGACTAATAATAATCTTAGAATATTTATTTGAAAAATTTTACAAACCATGTATTGAAATCCTCTTCTTTTACAAGCCTAGAATTGAACTGTTCCGCCTGTTAGATTTAAGTGTACTGCTTTAAAATCTTGATTCAGAAGTTCCACCTTAAACCCGACGCTGGACCCCAAACATCAAATATATTAACAATATATTTCCAGGGCATGCTCCAGACCTTTGTTTTTCTTTACAACAGCGGCTACATCACCATATGAAGGTCCCATCAATGATTGCAAGATTATGTAATTGAATGTTCTTTAACATTTCTATGCAAATAAAAGGATACTGTGATGTTTTTACTTAACATTATCAACCTGTATGAATCTCACTCTGGACAATTTCTAGTTGCTTCTAATGAAAGCCGATTCAAGATACGGCCAATTGACAGATTTAATATGAAACAGTTTATGAACATTGATCCATATATTATCTTGATGCCTTGCACTCATATAAATACTGTAACCAAAGTAAAGTGGAGTAGTGGTAAGAAGAATGTCATTAAGTGTGAAAATAGGCAGTCTCTTTGGCATTTTGTTGGCATTTCTATGTTGAATTGATTCTTGTTGGCATGGTTAGGTTGTCTGGTTGTCTTGTGAAAAACAAAGTCAGTGCAAAAGCAGCAGAAGGGGCAGCAGCCAATAGCTGAGTCCCAGCGGCGGTGAGGCGAAGCTTTTAACGTTGCAGTCGTCGCTGTAGCAGCAGTGAACTCTGACTCCTGGGGCTCTGTAGCCCTGACTGCTGGCCTGGCTGCAGAAAGACTTGTAGGAACAAGACTTCATCACACCACCTAATGAAACACACAGAAATACATGTGAGAGACGCATCCATTTAACGGCTGTCTCACAGAAGCCAATTAGAACGGCAGAACTGAAAACAGCTGTTGCGATAAAGCTCCCCGTTGCTACTGACAACTAATGCACACATTTATAGCAGACTCAAGTAATCTTCTGGGATGATAAATATTTTGAAATCTTTGTAGGTTGATAAGAAACTACTGTCAACTAGCACCAAGATATGAACCTTTCAATCAAACATAGGGAGACTGGACTCTTAAACTTAACTAAAAGCTATTCTCCTACATTTTAAATATTGCATGAACATAGAGACAAAAAATTAAATAAATAGTGAAAAATGTATTGTTAATGCATGTCTAAATCCTGGGGACATTTTTTTTTTTATTTAATAGGTTGTCTCTGGGGAAAATAATACCAAATTTTTTCTTATTGCTTTGCTGTGCACAAAGACAAAAAAAAGAAATAGTAAAATTTGAAAATTAAGTCTAATCCACTAAACACATTTAAATAGCATTGTTTTAATTTTGTGTGATTTCCTTAAATCTTTCACTTCTCTTTTTCTATTATGTGCTTTTGTGCTAAAAATAATTTCTTTGTTTCTTTAACACATTTAACCCGGTAACAAATGCAGGTCAGGACGCTGAGGCAGGTTTACTATGAGGAGATGCATAAAGCATAGGAAGGTGTTCCTTTTTGTGTTCAGATCTAAAAATGTGTTTCCTCTTTGTTCTTTTCTTCTAAACTTTTCCATCATAACTGGATTTGGACATTAATCCTAAAACTCAGCCCATATTTATTCTCAAGGCACGGACCAGTTAAACCTTTAATAAAATGGTTTGACTTTTATCAGCTCAATTACAAAAATTGAAAAAAATTAAATCATTATTATGAATTTACACTTCAATTTTTAAAAGTTTAAGAATCCAGTATAATTAACATTATTAGATTAATTAGTTAATTCAGAAACAAATCTTATTTTTGAGAGATATATAAAGGTCCCCTAATTTAACAGATGAGATCTAATAAGAAAAGAAATTATTCTTTAGATTGAGTGATGGATAGATTATGCTGAGAGATTTATAAAACTGTGTTATAAATATATATATTTTTATTTGCTCCTTCATTGTGAAAATAGAATAAAAATAAAGATAAGGGTCAGTATTTCTAGAGCCATGGGGTGTCCTTATTAAGAATATTAAGGGTACTCGTCAGGTAGAGGCAAAAAGCTTTTTCTTCCCTGCAAAACCTCAGACTCCCTGCTGACTGGGATGTTTCTGCAGACAACAGCTGGGCCGATTTTAACAAACACTGTCATATACAGTCGCGTGCACACATGCATGACGAACAAAAAACAATCTTTGAGTGTCTAAACACACAAAAAAACTGAAAATCTTTAAGAAACATGACTTACTGTCATGACCCACCACCACTGCGCAGGCATCAGAGTAGCTGGGACAGGATTTGGAGCCTTGCCGGTTACAGTCATCATTGTTTGAGCCCATACAGGTGTAGCACTTTAAAGCCTCACCTAAACAAGAAAGAGAACAAGTTAAAACTGAAAGTTGGTTGAACTTTGCCCACTATGCAGACATTGTAACTTATAATCAGTCCAAAATAATACAGACCAAATTTTAAATAGACTATAAGTTGTGATATACTCCCCTGACTTATTGTATTGGAATGTAAATGCCAAACAAAAAACTTTTTTTGCTCTATTTATAAGTGTAGAATACTACTTCTACAGAACTTAAAAAAACCTGTATCCAGTGTCCCAATCTTAAGGTGTTATGCAATTCTATATATTCCATATTTCTAAAGTGGAAATGAGTAAATGTTAACCAGAGCATAAAAAACTGTGAATAATCTTAAATGATAAATTGGCTTCACTGTCATGAGCTGGTGTCGGATTCTGTCCATATAATTTTTTTACGCTTTAATGCCCATTCCCTATTGAAAGGATATGCATTAAAAAGAGTAGAAAACTTTCTTTCTTAGGATATGTGTCAAACTCTGAAACGGCCGCCAGTACAAGGAGTAGAGGACAGAAATCTAAAACTGGCTCCTGCCCATATGATGACCTGTGATATAGGTACAGTAGCTACTAGCTGAACCTAACAGCAACATTTTCACCTACTGTGTACACCTCAAGGTGGCACCCAACCCAACTGAAAATGTATTGTTCCCTTTTTTTATTTTCTAAGCATGACAGAGAGTAGCAGAAAGCCATATTGCTAATATTAAAAGCTGCTGCTGACTTTAAAAATAGTTTATAAGCCAGATCCCTTCTTCAGCCTCATCAGTGAACCATAATATATGGTCATATTTTCTTACAGTGAAAATGCCCTGCACAAAACTGGGTATGTATATAATGCTATTTTAATTCAAAACTGCTTTTTTGCTCTGCTTTCCATAAAACTCAGCTTTTCTAACTTTGCTTGTTCTGAAAGTAACAATACTTTTCTTTCAATTATTCAATCCATTCAGAAGCACTCCAAATGTTATACTGTCAGAACGAGTTTCACACAGGAAGATAATTGGTAGTGAATTGCTTTCTACCTCAATCTCCTGTATAAATACTCATTAAATTATCCCCCAGGGCTAGCTGGAAAATGCTATCAAGAAAATGAAACTCTAGTTTTTTTAAGGAGAGAAGTCCTCTCTGGTCCTGGTCATATTAGTGCAGGGGTCTAGTCCTAGCTACCACCCTTCAAATTCTAGATGCCTTGTTTCAACACACCTGAACCAAATTAATGGTTCATTACCAGGCCTCTTAAGAGCTGATCAAAGAATATAGCCTACGTCCGTGCTACTGTAGCAGGGGTGCAACCAAAGGTTGCAGGATGGTAACTTTCAAAGACACCCAGGCTTTAGGGCTGCTGGTTATTGTTTCACCCAGGAATAACTAATCTAGACTTATGCAAAACTAAAACACAGAGATAGTTTAAAATTGTAGGTAATTAACTGGTTATCACCTGTTTGAATAAAATATACTTTACCTTTAAACTACTGTTTGAACTGCCTGTATAACAATTTAACTGCACTTTTCCCTCAACAGTCTCTAAAGTTAGGATTGATTGGATAATTTTACAGAGAACATCTGCTGGTAGCCATTTTGCTCTTGTAGTTAACACAGTATCCAGGACATGGCCCAGAAACTCTTAAAGCTGCAGAAAAGGAGAGTTTACTCCAGAGCAGATGTAAACCGTGACCAAATGAATTTCCCCAACGCGGTACCTCCATCCTTTATTCCGACAGAAAGTGTTTGATGCGTCTGGGCATGCAAGCAGTGAGACTAAAGAGAGGAGACAGTATTAATTAATCCCTTCCCTCACACAAATCTTTCTAAATCTACCACAAAGTTACAACAGTTATGTTCATGGGATAAAAATACTTTTTTAAAGAACCAGTCTTTGCACATAAAACACTTAAATAGCATCCAATTTCTTATTCTGAGTGAGAAGCAGCTATTGAACTGACCTTTGAAATGCTATATATTTAAACACTTCCTTTTAAAACCCTACATCCCTTCCCTTATATTCCAGACAGGCAGTCTTGAATGCTGCTTCATAAGAGGATCAGAGCCAGAGGCACTCAAAGCTTCCAACATTCTTAGTAGCAGCACATTTCTTGCATTTCACAGTGTAAGTTACTCCTTTAAACCTAAAACGTGTCTCTCAGACACATATGCAGCTTTGTCCTCGTACAGATTTAGTTCAGAGAGATGGGACAGATCAAACCAACAGGTCAACTCTATCACTGTGCGATCAGACTCACTATAAGACAAAATGTACAACTTCCAACAGTATGATCACACAACAAGCAAGAAACAAAGATTTTATATTTTAAGGTTATTTGCCAGATGCTTGTTTATTTTGCAGCTTATCAATGATCATCTGTGTTTTGGACTAGCATTAAACATCCCCCACTGAGGGTTGTTGACCCCAATCTAATGCCACTGCACGGCCGCTTTCCACACATGCTAGAAGTATTAGTCTCCAGGCCTGTTAAGAGATTAGCTGCTTTGACTGGAGCCTGGTAGGAAAAGATGATGAAATGGAAGGAACAATACAGTTACTACAATTGCAATATATACTCTAATCAAAATAACAAATAAGGATACAAATATCATATATATATATTTTTTTATGTTTGATACATTTTTTTATGTTTTAAAAAATAGTACTTTTCCAAGAAATTAAATAAATATTCGTATAGTTTTACCAACATCAACATGTAAAGGGAACAAAAGTACAGAGAAGCAAAGGCAGAAGAAAGGCTGTCTGATTAGAAGTGGTAAAATAACAGGAGGAGACATTTTCAGCTATTATTTAAACAAATACCAAAAACAATATGTTAAAAAAAGAATGAAATTGAAGAAGAATATTTCTTACTGTAAGTTGGCAACCGGACCACGAAAACCAACAACAGCAGAGAGTAGTGGACAGTTCTCATGGTGCTACCGGTCCTTGCTCCTCCTTATCACACAATGAAAAGCAGGTTGTTTGCTCTCTAAGCCTTCCAAAGTTAATCTTGGTACTTAATCCAATATCTGCTCCTGCCTAAGCAGTGGATGAACAGCTCCCTCCTAGCTTTGCCAAATCATTTCATCATTTTTATTTATACATTTTTCCTTGCAGTTTGAACCAGAGTCACCTCCAGTATCGATACTTCACATAGCCTTTCCTTACGTAATTAAAAAAAAACTAAGTAGATATTTCCAGTTTTAAACAACAGGTAGATCTTAATTAAGAAAAAAATAAAATAATGTGTGGGAGTCAGTAGTTTTTCTCATACCAATCAAACCTCAACTCATCCACTGGATTACCAAATGGAGAATCAAGATTATTCCCAGCAGAGAATGTGCCTTCACTGCTCTAGAATCCAGTAGAGCCGGGTGTTACATCACCGCATCCGAAGCCTACCATTTGTGATTGATGTATGACTTGGATGCAGCAGCTCTCCCATGAAAACTCAATTAAGCTCTTTACACACTGTTCTTGGGCTGAACTTAAAGCCACTTGAGGTTTGTTGTTTGACTTTGTAAAAAGTTGATTATCTTTGTGCACTGGGCAGCATCTGATGCATGTAGAAAGCCAATAACACCATTTAAAAAAGGAACTTTAGAATGTTTTAAATAACAAAAAGCTACGTTTTGAAATATAAGATATGGATGTAAAGTCAAAAAGAATGTTTAGGAAGGGGAAGATTTTTTGTTCTGATGAAAATGGACAACATCTTAAATTAGTGTCCCCTGAATACAGACATGCCAGCTGAAGGAGTAGTGATCAATTCTTCTGTCTTTAGAGTATAATATTTTATAATTACTGAGCTCAAGAGCAAATGTACAATTGCCTCTAAGAAAAACAAGAAATTTAGTAAAATACAAGGTTTGGACAAAAACTGACTGATAGTGCAAGACTCCTGAGTCAAGTCCGGAGCGTTAAGTGTTCTTACCTGAGAGAGGATTAGAAATAGGAGGAAAATGGTGAATGCAACATTTCATCCTGAATCACTCATATGATTTAAAAGTGAATTTGTTCGTATGAAAGGTTCTTACAGTAGATGAGGCTAATTGTTCCAAATAATTCGGTTCACCTCAACCATGAGACTAATAAAATTTGGCAGCTATAGAACAGATTGAAGTGCTTTGTTTTTTTTATCAACAAAGTATAAGTGGGAATAGCTGAAGCATTAAGTTATGAAATTACAGAATGACATGGAAATGAACTTTAAGAGAAAAAGTATAGATTGTGAAAATGCTTAATTCATTCAAGAGGGATTTTTAAATGATACAAAAGCTGAGCAAAAATTCTTAATAAGGTACTTATTTTCACCCTTTGATAAAAGGACAAATCTCTCATTATTATCAGATTTTGCCACTATAATACATGAATTATCTGTTGCTCATCAGCAGAATTTCTAAAAGGAACAATAAATCCTAAACATAATAAAATGTATCTGTATGAGAGTCTCTCAAGTCACTGTATGAAACAAGTCACCTAATATAACATATTTGAAGTTTTGTGTCCTAACTGTACATTTTACATATAGAAAAAGAAACAGAGAGAACCTTGAGCTGTATTGCCATCTTTTATTGCACTTTGAAAGCTGATGCTGTACAGTAGCTGTGAAGAGGATAAAACATTCCTCAGTGAAAAATGATCACTGCAAGACAGAGGCGTCCAAAATAAAAATAAAAACGCTCCTGCTCAAAACTGAATACAGACACAATTAGTTTGCTTTAATATCAAAATTAAATTCCCCCAAAATAAAATAAAAGTCCAACAATTTAACAAAAAAAATCTATGATAAGTATGATAGATAATGCTTAGATGAAAGCAGCAGGATGAGGGTGACAGAGAAACTATATCAAAATGCAGACAGTTCTTGTTTTATACTTGGATATTCCACAGTACACTATATACAAACAACAACATTACAAGGTTTTCCTTCTCTCCTACATGCAAGTCTATTGTGATGGTTTGGGTCATGTTCTAAGTGTTTTAAGACTGTACAAATTAATTTAAACATCTGTGGCTTATTTTTGTTTTTCAAAATCTACCTTAATCTTGCATCAAGAGGTGAATCTAACAGGAACAGGTAAACAGTCTTCTCCCTCAGTGGATGTCATGGCAACATCATATAACACACAATAATCCTTTCGCTTTTTCATCACCGCACACACAGTCACGCACACACAACACTCATCACTGATATGATAGATTTTCTAAAACTTTGAACCACACCCCTGATAGGCTACAGTACGGTACACTGACACATCAAAAATGTACAGAGTATTAAAAGGAGGTCATATTTCTGGAGACTCAGTAAGAAGTGAAACCCAGAGACCTCTTTGGCCTTAGATGTCCATTGATTCTCGCAACAGTGATCAACTTCATGTTCATACGACTCCTGGTTTGCAATGAAGCTGCTAACTCTTCCCCATTTTGGCAATCAGTTCATCACAGATCTTTGTCAACTCTTCAATCTCTTTGTTCTGAAAAAAAGAAAAATTAAAAATAATAAGTTAACAAATATGTGTTAAAACAGTGTCTTACAAACATATTTATGCACCCTGAACTTATTTGAGGAACTGGAGATAGTATGAACCACCTGTAAGCATCTAAAAGGGTGTTAATCTAAACTGAGGCCAGGCAATAGACAACAGAAAAAAGTGAAGCAGCAAAGGTGATCTATCTGGTTTTGTTTTCCTCCTCAGGGTGTTTTTTTATTTCTATAAAAAAAAAAAAACCCTTAGGAGAAAAATATGCACATAGAAATTTAGTATGTATTGAGTCGAATTTTTGTAAGTCATAAGATTATACTTATGCAAGTTAGATATTAGAAAATGTAATAATTGTTTATATTTGGAAAAAGTAGTAAACAGTCTGGTAACTTTAGACCCTACTATTAATTAAGAGATGAATAGGGGCTTGGGTGGAAATAATGGACGACAAGAGGCATAGAAAGTTTTTTCTAACAACTTTTAGGAAGATATCGGGTCAGACCAAGTTAACATTCATTAAAACCAGAGTGAGAAAGAAACAGCAAAGGTTTTTTTGAAAGAATCAATTCGGATGTGCTTTCAGAAACAAACTACCTATTGTCCGTACAATCTTTACTTGGAGTATGCCTGCTTTGGAACAAACATTGTTCACATATGGAGCAGATGGTGCAAGAACCGGCTATTAAACATCCTGGGAATGGTTAAAAAAAGTATCAAGGCATCTTCCTGACCATCAAAAATGTCAGCGACAGCATCATACTGTTGGTAAGTTTGTCAAAGTTAATTAAAGGAATAAAAAAACGTTAAGATACAAAAGACGCCAGACTGGGGTCCAACTTCATCTTTAGACAGCGTAATGACTTTAAACACAGAGTAATAATAGAATGGCTTGGATTAAAGCATGTTTATTTATTTGAAAGGTCTAGTCCAAGTTTAAACCTGAATCCAACTGAGAAAACTAATTTTCAAACATGCTTTTTGACAGAAGTTGAGCTTGTTTACAAAGGAGAGTCTGAAAACATATACATATAAGCTGTAAGTACAGAAAATGGTTCCTAGTTTATAGAAATAGTTCTTTAAAATATTTTCTTCCTTATATGGTTTTAATATTCCTACACTGACCTTTTGCTCCAAAGTGCGCTCCAAAGAGTCCACCTTCATCTGCTCCTTCCTTAGACTCGCTTGGTGGGCAGCCTGCTCCTGCTTTGCCTTGGATCGGACCTGTGCTATCTCTGAATTGGCCCTGCAGAATGACAGTCGAAACATAGTTAAACTGTAGTACTGGTATAAGGACGAATATCAGTCTAGAAATTCAAGAAATGTAATGAATCTATAAAAAAAAAAAAATCAAATTTGTTTATCTTATGTTAAATGAACACCTATAGCTTAATCTTATTTAGGGAAAAAAGAAACCCTACTATGTCATCAGTTTGTTTATACCCACTTGTCTAGTTTTTCTTCAGCGTGGATCTTCAAAGCCTGATATCGCTGTTCCTCCTTCCGAACTCTGGATAGATACTCCTGAGCACATTTCTTCAGTACTTCTTCATTCTAAGATAAAATACCTCCATCATTAAACTGCAATAACCGTTTTACGACTTCAACTAATTTAAAAATAATTTATCTTAAATCTTAATAGGATAACTTCACTCTGAACTTATTTAATCACAACCATCACTGTGCTGGGTTCTGAATAAGTTTTGTATTATATTAAAAAAGCAATTTACTTAAAAAAATATTTTAAATAATTTGTGTGACACCTTGCGAAAACCTTCTAGCACATCTTTCATCTTCTCATAACGGCGGAAGAGGTCAGCCAAGGACTTCTCCACTGAGTTAAGGTCGGCCAAGGCCTGGTCCTTCTCTATGATCAACTGCTGGATGGTGTGATGGGACAGAGACTTCTCCTTTTGGTCATCCTCTGGTGGTAGGACACACACATTTCAAATATCATGTCTTAATCTGCTAAAGATGTTGAAGTAGAAGGTATAGTTTCCCATGAAGTTACAACATACATTCAAGTATACACCTTTTTAATCAGGTACTGAGTCGACAGATGGGGTAAAATTATTTATCTACGGTAATTCAGAAATTCAATATTCTTTATTGCATGCAAACAAAATGTCACAATGAGATGGCAATGAACTTCAAGTCAGTTACCTTTGGGTAAAAGTAAAGGTGTTTGAGTGGATTTAGCTTTGAAGCACTTCCAAGAATTCTATTCTTATTTACAAAATTGTTCATACTCTTATCATACAGCGTGAAATACAGCAAAATGGACAAACAAAAGCCACTAGATGATATGAAGAAAGGGAACACGCCTGCTCCTTTCTGACAGACAGATGAGACGCGAGCAGACACAAACGAGCGAAGCGCGGCTCTGCATTACTCACCTGGCATGCCTGTCAGGGTATCAAATAGTAAGTGGCAACGATGAGAGCAGAACAGAAAAGAAGGGATTGTGTTAGGTCAAGCCAGTAGGGTCAAGACATGTGAGAGAGCCAAGTGCTGGGCATGAACAGAGAGACTCTGGCCTTTAAGTGAGTGTGATCTGAGAAGGGCAAGGCATTAAATTAGACTGCAGCACCAGCCAAACTTTAGGAATGTCTTAATGTGGCAAAAGGAGGATGTAGAAGAAAGCAGGAATTGTGCAAAGTGAGCAAAAAGTGACATTTAATAGTTTAGAAAGGCTGCCATTGATGGAATATTGTGATGGTTTTATCTACGGCTCACATCAGGATCTATGTTGGTGGGAGCATAAAGGCTAACCAGAGTAGAGTATTTTCAGTCTCATTTTTTTTTTCTCCCACACTGTTTACATTTGATCAGTGCTGCACTTTCTGGAATACTATCATTTAGTACCGTCTTCAGAAAGTACTAAATTTGGCAATTTATTTAACATTTCGCTTAGTATACACTGTGTACAAAATGACAAAAGTTGTCAAAAAAGATTTGGACCTCCTGGTAGCCCTTTGTAAACCTGGTAATTAAATTAAAGAGCAACATTGCCTCCTAATCAAGCATTAAACACAGAGATGGCTGTTAATGTAATAGCTTAACACTTATAAAGGCTTATATATGATGTGACTCATAGCTTAAAATGTCACATTCATATTCATTTTGTCCTTGTTCTAAAAAAGTAAAACATAATCTCTCATGTGATGTCATCTTTGTAAGTCCTATGATTACATAATAGCCACAAAGTATGATAGTTTGAATGTTTTGTCATCTTATAATATAGCTCCACTGGAGCAAGTGAGAATGGAGCTGACTTAATATGATATCAGTAAAAAAAGAGGCTGTGGTGTTACATATATAGGCTTTAATAATAAGATAATGCAATGCAAATAAGCAGTAGTTTGATTAACATTCCTTGATTTATTTTAAAATGTTTTATGCTTGAATCAATGATTAGATCATGTGAAGAAATGGAACACTTACCTATCATCTGAGCAATAGTCTTCTCATATTCAGCAACAATCCTCCTGCAAAAAAGAAAGAAATCAATATTAGTGTGTGCAATAACAATATTGCCAAGACTATAAACTCATAAAACGGTGAAAGGCATGTAATAATGGGGGCAGTTTAGCTCCCTGCCCACAGGTGCCCTTTGGGTTGGATTATTATTATTCCCACTTTATTGTATTCCAATAAGCCCTCCTCTGACACTTAATGAAAACATGTAACAATAAAGTTATCTTTTAATGTTTTTCATAAGAGAAATGCCATGACAATGTCCCCAGTTACCTTTGCCTTTTGGTGTACTGTATGCAATAATTGCCCCCTGCACACCGAGACAGAGAAGGGTGTTGCTAAAGATAATTCAGATTTGGTACAGATTTCAGCCCTGTTGTCTGTCAAAATATGATTTAATAAAGGCAGGTGAAGTGTCTTTTTTGAGAACACTACAACTGAGAGAAACGGAGGCTAGAACGGGCAGGAAGAACCCCTGCCTACTCAGCCACAGTCTCCCCTATAAATGCAACTTCACACTCTCTATGTCTTTGATTACATTTGAACTCTAAGTCAAAGCTTCCTTTTTAGTGTACTTATTGAATTAAGAGTAAAACTTAAGAGAACAAATGAAGTAAACGCTGACGTGTGCAAATGTGCAAAACTGTGTTACCTAGCAACAAAAAGCTGCATCAAACGGCTGCAAACAGGAGTACAGAGTTAGGAAGCCTTGGTCCAATCCAATCACAGCATTTATAACTTAAAGTAAACATCCAAAAAGATGATCCTGTGATGTGTCTACATTGGATAGTTTTCTGGCTTTTTTTAATTTACGATAGGAGGACCCTGATTGACTTTATTCCAGTAACACAGGTTGTACGGGCTAAGAGGATTAATTAGCCTCACCTCCCTCTTAGTCTCTTAGCTCCTCCTTATCCAGAGCCCAATCAGTTAAAGGAGGTAAGCTCTTTCTTATCCCAGCTAAGTGACCCTGCTCCAGTCAGACCAACCACCTGCTGACCAACAAGGAGCTTCAGTCCTGCTTACTACCAGTTTTCTGTATCTGGACATAAAGCTGCTTGCAGACTGTGCTCTATAGGTGAGGTGAGAGGTGTATATTGGTGAATATTATCTAAAGCAATAATTTGTTTATCATTTTTGTTCTGCCTTAAATAAAAAAAAACTCCTATCTGTTCTTTGTGCTGATTGTTAGATCTTAGTCCTTCTTTAACTGGCTCTCCACTCTGGACCTAAACATGTTCCTGTTTGACAGTTTCACATAAACCAATTAAATGATTGAAAAGAAGATAATCCCAAGCATTTCTGCACAGTTCCTGAACCTGAACAACTGCTACCATCTGTAACTGTGGTGGAATTAATAACTCAAGTTTTTTTTTTTCTTACCTCATCTCCACCACCTCCTGCCGACTTTCCTCATACTTCCTTTGCCACTCCAGTACCTCCTTCTCCTTTGACACAATCTATAAATAAGGTGTGAATGCTGATAAGTATAGCTCTAAATATTGAACAGATTAAACCTAACTGCAATCACTCAATGATTAAAAAGGAATTGAAGGGAACCTCCTCTCGTGCAATATCCAACGACTGGTCAAGATCTCTTGGCAGATGAGGACTGTCTCCTTCCATGTAGCTGCTGCCGATGGTCTTCTTGGCATATAGTGAGCTCTTGGGTATGGAGCTCTCTGCAGAAGACAACATGTCCCGCTGCTGCTTCCAGGAAGCAAAGGAGAGCAGGGAAAGGAAGGAAAACATGGCAAGTTAAAAACCAGACACAGTTACAGGATGGACACGCTCTTATCCAGGGGTTTACGCACACATGCCCAACAGGATTCCTGAACCACAACTGCAAGGCAGCATGGAACGGCACAAAACTGCTCTGCACAGCATAAACCGGTGGTGAATCCTGCGGGGTACATAGTGATGTTTCTGAAGACTTGGTGGCAAATAAATGATTGGATGAAACAGCCTTCATTGCCATAGTAATTGCTAATTGGCTGAAGCTGGTCCCAGCTGGGCGATGATGAGCGCCTGCTGCTTGCAGAAGCAAAACAAGAAGGAGGGCAGCAGCAGATAAACAGGAGATGGAAGATCAGGGATATGGATTGGGCAGCAGAGGCATTACTGTTAGTATCTTTATACAATATTACTGTCCATGTGTCTATAAGGCTATGGCACATAAATACCTCAACTTTTTTCTCAGTATCAGTTTTTGACCTTTGAATTTTTATCCTGGATTAAAAGGATATAGTCATCATCAGAAGAGCTGGATTAACATAGGCTGTATTAAAACAATCTGGGCTTGCAGAGAACAGGGAAGTCTACTAATACGCAGAAAGGGAACCAAGTGTTGCATCTTCCTTAAGCACTAATGCATTTAATTAATCAAAGGGAAAATCTAAACAGATGGTCCTGTAAAGAAATAGATTCTAGTTATTGCAACTCAAGGCTTTATTTTGGTTGAGTTATAAAAATTTTAATCCCCAAATGAACTGCCTAAGTCATGGTCACAAAACTATAGCAGATGCAAATGGCCTTATGATTTTTAACATGAGCACAACAATAGTGTGTTCTAGATGTAAACCAGAGACACGAGCATAAAAGCAGGTAAAACATTAATCTTGGGGGATATTAGAGATGCACCAATGATTTACTTGCCTGATCAGTTATGAGATATCTATGACCTACACGGGCTCAAGTATGCAGTGCAGTCTGTATGTATTTGGACCAGATTTACGGTTAGAGCTCTGTAGTTTAAGCTCTATTGAAAAGATTACGTTAAAATAAAGATGTAACAACGGCCATATCTTTAGATCCAACGTGACGTGGAACTGGGCAAATAGAACAAAGACTATGTTCTTGACCAAATACTTGGACTGCACTCTAGGTGGGTAGGAATAGGTCACAGGGCTGTCGTACTCTTACTTTGAGTATGGGGGAACCGTTGATATTCCACCTCCGTGAGCTGGGTTTCTTGAGTCGAGACTGTGAAATGTGTGGAGCACAAACATAAGTCTTAAGGGACAAGACTGGGAAGCAGCTGGACTTCCTCGACTCTTTCAGCTGTCTTTTCCCCCAAGTTTTAGAAACCTTCTAGCTCGACTCTCCTTTAAGCTAAACAGATTGCTGCTATTTATCTTAACATTTTTTTTATTATGTTATGTGGCTTTAATAAGAAAAATTGCCCCATACATACTGCCAGAATATTTTACATTTTGCTGCATTACAACTACAATGTTTTTCATGTGAATTTCATGTGATGGGTCACAAAGTGGAGCAATATTGCAAAGCGGAAAAGACTTTGGGTGCTGAAAAGCTGAAATTGCACCTAAACACACCATGCACACAGTGAAACGTGGCAGCGACCACATCACACTGTGGATATGCTTTTATCTACAGAGGCAGGGTTCAGAGTTGATGGGAAGCTACTGCAAAATGTAAATAAAGTAGGTTATGTTTTTATATAAGAATATTTTTTCTTAATTTGGGCAAGTAAGGTAAGTAATCTGTCAGTGGAATAATTGTTTGGTTTTCTTGCTATTTTAAATGCAAAAAACCCAACTATTTTATGATCTTATTTCGAGTGAAGAGTGTATGGTAATTATTTTAGGGCAATATACACCATTAGCAGATCATTTCATGTACTTGCAAAAATTAAGGGCAAATAGAGTTACTTCAAGGATATTTGGTTGTTTTTAGGTCTTTTTTTTTTTTTGCAAAAGTAGACCTGTTAAAGGCTGCATTCGCTTTTCAGATTCTCACTTTCCAGCCAGAAGACACAGACCCCAAAGACTTGCAGCTTTCACTGTTACAACTTGGTTTTAAGAAGTAAGACCATAGGGGGTGGCTTGGAAAAAAAAAATACACACCACATTTTTCAGGCAGCAAATTTCACAAAACTATGAAAACAATGAAGAATTTTTCACCTCATAGCTAAGGACTACTTTGAGTTGGTCAAATAAAATACATATAAACAAATTCAAGATTTGCAGATGTAAAATATTGTGTAATAAACCTCAACATGTGTAAAGAATTTTGCGATGCATTGTAAAATCCCGTTTTGAATCTGAGCTGTTAGTTTTGGAAAAGAAGAAAAAAAAGAAAAGGAACCTCAAATGTGACTGGAGATTTAAAATTAAAGATTATAAAACACACCAGGGAGAGTTGCAGCCACATAACTCTGCAGCTGCAGATTTTAGGGGATCTCGTTACATCCCCAGTCACATTCATGCTGATGTAAGCCTCTCAGGAACAGGCAACAGGCAAAAACAATGCAAGGGACTAAGAAGGCACTGGATTTTTGGATTAACCTGGAGGAGCCCACTGCCAGTAAAGGTGGGAGCTGTACGCGTTAATCACCCTGAGTGATATTACCTATGGTGATGCAGGGTTGCACCAGGATTGTGGATACAGCAGCACAGCCGCCATGCCGAAGGGACCGATCGGCAAGCCGAGACACAGCCATGCACACACCACAGTCCACAATAACCCACTTTATCCAACACCTGGTTTTCCCTCATCACTCAGCCTAAATGTCTGTTTTCTGCAGCAAACACGCTCACCCACACACACTGAATACAGCAGGTGCAGGCTGACTCAGCGCAGTACCTGGGGGGATACAGTGGAGAGGGAGGGGCACTGGGAGATGCTTTGGGCTACTTGCAGAGCCTCTAACCTCAGGGCAGCAAGCACCAGCTCCTCCTTGGCCGCACACAGAGGGGGCCAAATATCAGGGGGGGTGGGAGGAGGGTCAAAGAGAGCAAAGGGAAACATACAAAGACTTGAATTGAGGTCACACATTTGCTGCTGTCTACATCTTACCAATAATTATTCTACCCCACGCAGAAAGCCAAATACCGGGAAGGAGGGAACATAAAAACATTAAAGGAATGAAATATGTTTACACAATGGGAGCGATGTGGCAACAAAAACACACAAAGTCACATTTCCTCCCCAGAGCCAGGACCTTCGAGGTTCATCAAGGTGGGGTAACACACCTGTAGTTTTTGAGCGAATGCAGTTGGGTTGGTCTCAGCCAGGTCAGGCTCCAGGTACTGCAGGGGATCCTCACACTCAGACAGCCTGTCTAACAACAGGGGCATGGCCTGGGCTGGGGCTGCAGGGAGGGCCTCCACAGGGCCCTTGCTAGAGGGCTACAGGGGCACCAGGAGGATTGGGGAGGAGGGAGGGGGCAGGACAGCAAAGCAAGCGCTGAGTGTTTGAGAGGCAGAATTGGGAGTCTAATTTCTGAACAAAAGCTGGGAAAAAGAGTTGGATGGAGTTCCTTTTTGTCAAATCCCTATGAATCATCTGCTGGGATAAAGGTCTGTATCGTCATCCACGATTCTGACTAAACAACGTGATGTAAAATGTAACTTAAAAAAGTGACATGCAGGTGCATCTCAACAAATTAGAATAGGACTGAGAAGTTATTACATTTTTTTATGAATGTAATCTTAATAAAAGTATCTTAAACCAAAAGCTAAAATCCAATTTCTAAAAAAGATCGGACTATTAAAAAAAGTCTAATTGATAATCTGATTTAAACACAGAAATTACAGTAAGCCAAAAAGTGAATTCCCAAAGAAGCTGGCTGTTAACTAGTACTGCTGTATTCATGTATTCCAATCTCAAACCAATAACAAATGTTAGCCCACAAAAAAATATGCCCATATTTATACATATATACTTAGTAATAGGTTAAGTTATTAAATGAATCCAATAAAGATGAAATACAAAATCTACTTTGCAGCTTTAAGCAGAAAGACACGTAAGGACCATCCAGCTTTAAGGGTCGCTTAACACAGAAAAAGTGCAAATTCTTGTGCATATCCTAAATTTTTTCCTTTCACTCAACTTTTCATGAATGTGTTTGGATACAGCACTCTAAACATTCAGCAACCTTTTTGGCTTACGTAAGTTAATGAATAAAACTCAGTTATAAATGACATTATAATCTATTGAGGTGCACCTGTAAACCCCATACATGGTGATGAGTAGACAGGTAAATGAGAGTCAACTAATTCTTTGCAATAAATGTGATTAATGCAAGCTAAACGTTTTTAGAAAACCCATAATCTCACCTGTTCCTCCCTCTCTATACTCTGGGTTCGACTGAGCACTTCACTCTCTCTCTTCCTGCCCTTGTCCACAGCATAGCCCTCTGGACCGGGCCTCGGACTCAAAACTGGCGTCTTCATGCCGGCGGATATCTTAGCTTCCATTTCCTCAAAACTCCTGCATGGAATGAGAAAATCATGCTGAAGTCTGTTTAAAAGATGCAGGTAGGGAACCAGAAAATATCGATATGTTAGATAAAGGTGATAATGAATAGTTTGGTTAACCAGCTATAATGCATTATTCCACAATCAAGATTATTGAGGCCAAGACTTAAGAATATGAATTTGCAACAAAAAAATATAATGATCACACAATTGTATAATAATATATATGACCAATATCATATGTTTCAATTGGTTAGCCAGATTTCCTTATTATAATCTTTAACAAATACTGTAATGGAAGAACAGCAAACCTGGTTAAATACATGTTTTCAATAGGTTTTTGAACAAAACTTTACTAGTCAAACTAATAAGTACAGAGGAAACTGTATAAACAACCAAAAGGAATAAACCATTTTGCAAATATACACAAAAATATCATTAAGTTAGTGTTCAAGTTAAATGTATAGTCATAACATTTATTTTGCAATGCTGAGAAGAAACAGTCCATATATAGCAATGTTAAAGCGTGTAATGTAATGTATACTTTACCCAGTGCAGGGGGAACTGGGCTCAGATCCATGTCCATGTGTAGTTTGGGTTAAACTGTCAGATACCGAATCCAAGTTCAAGTACAGAGAGGGCTTTTTGATAGACAGTGGCTGGAAGACACAATTAACAAGAAAATGCTGAAGACTGAAGTGACTCATAAGTATTAGGGATGCAAACAGAAATTAGCTGCTGGCTCCAATTGACCATTATTTAGCTTCATAGGCTCACACTGACTTAATAAAAAAAAAAAATAAATAAAAATACAAAGCTAAGACCATGAAATGGAAGAAACACTTCTATGTCTTGTTTATTACTACACCACGTTTTTTGATTCGTTCTTTTTTAGTTAGATGATTTTGCTATATCTCTCCATAGTCATTAGAATCTCAGTAGGTGAGAGCGGGAATATCTGCTAAATATCTAGTAAATAATAAACAATAATATTAATAATAATAATAATAATACATTTTATTTAACAGTTCCTTTCTGGACACTCAAGGTCACTTTACAGAAAAAAATAAAGAATTAAAAAAAAGATGAAAATACCAAAATACAAATACAGGAAAATAAAAACAGTTATGGATGGGGAAAAGAGCAGTGTATTCACAAATAAGTGAGCTGGAACAGATGGGTTTTGAGTCTGGCTTTGAATAAGGGGAGAGAGTCAATACTGAAATGATAAAGTTATTACATGTATTTTAACCTTTATTTCTGTTTGGTATGATGACAAACCGCGGAAAAACCGACCACAGTGCTTCTCTGCTTCAGTTTAACACGCACTGTCCTGAGCTGCATCAGTCACTGTCACATGAACAAACAAAAACCCCATGACCACCTCCTCCCTCCTCTCTGTCTCCTTAAACAGACATTAACTGGGAATAAATTAACTGGGAATAAACACTGGTTGTTAATATCATCCCAGGTTTATCAGATCAATACCTGTATGCTTATACATGACCAATACTGGCCAATAGCGACATGAGTATTTTTAATCTGACAAATGTGCCTCATCACAACTTATTTTCTAATTTACTGAATAAGAATTTTTTGTTTAACTGCGTGAAACATTTAAATAAATTGGAAAACGACCGCAAAATATGAGTTGTGCATCTTTAAAAACAAATACATACAAAAAGAATAAAGTAATTTCTGCAATATAAGCAGTTTCCAGTTTCATTAAGGTGATATCCGTGAATATGTCAGAAAAATACTTACAGGGGAAGAAGAGCCAATCTTCTCCATGTACTCAATTTCATAGTCCTGGACTGAGACAGAGCAAAACAGAAAGAGAAAAAAAACTAGTGTTATAACCAGAGTAAAGAATGAAAACCACAGTGATCAGTGCTTCGGTCTGATGGGATCAGAGGTTGAGCCGATGATGTCTGCACTCTGTTTCATCCATGACCCAGATGGGTTGAGCCAAACAGCCTCTGGGAAGAGGTGGGTCCTGTGGTGATCAGAGGGCAGTAGAGAACTGGGCCAGCCCTTTTAGTTATTTTTCACTAATAGAAGTCAATAAACTGCTCCATGGATGAAAAAACAAAGCAACCAACTGTTTTACAACAAAATGAATCCAAACAAAAGCTTTGAATTTCACTGAATAGCTGCATTGGTGCGGTATACTTTGATGTTGCATGAACATAGGATGGGGACAAAAAGTCAGATAGTCATGCCAAACCTGGATTCTCCTGAGGAAGACTGTTCTCATTTACGAAAGTCGTAACGTCGCAGGGCTGGGGGAAGTCTGGGTGGTCAGTGTTTAAATCCTGGTCCATGTCATGGTGGGCCGCCCACTTATGACTGGTGGAGGAGGCCAGCTTCTCCTCGTCTGTGGCGTGATCATCCTGTTGGTGAAGAGAAGGAGATTCATCCGCAGATGTGGGATCCTGTGCGTAAAAGGAGCAGAGTGATCTTCTTAATGTGGATTCATTTGAAAAATAAGAAATCTCTCTAGATATAAGCTAAATATACACACCTGGGATGTGTCAGACATTGGGGATTTCTTTGGAGATCTCTTGACTCTGAAAGTATTACTGATGGGAAAAAAAAACAATAAAACAGCAATAATTAGAATCCAGGATTAACCCGGGGAAACTTAATCTTAAATCCAGCAGCTATGGTCGAAATTCAGTCCCGTTTACTGCAGAAATATTTCCTTCAACTGCAGCTCGAAGGTGCCTCATTGCACATCGATGGATGACATCGTCAATACATGAAAAACATTAACATTAATTGGGTCTAAATTACAATTTGTGTGAATCAGAGTTTAAAATATTAAAATGTTCTTCATACTCCTAGAGACATACACCTTTTAATATAGCTAAGCAGTTAGTTACACAGATGTTAATGCATCTTAATTGTTAGATGTAAGCCTTTTCAAATGTATGTATTAACATGTTCTTTGGTTCAAATTTCAAATTAAAATATGCTGAAGTATTTATCAAAATCTACAGATTTATTATTCCTCCTTAAATCAATTTATTAATGATTTTCATTATATCTAATTTTAGTTTGATTAACACAGTGGGAAATGGTAAAAGTATCCGATAAATAGTATGTTTTCGAGGTGGCAAAGCCCTTTTAAAATAATAATCATTAATTATCTCATCACTAATATATTTTTGTAAGACTTTTGTAGTGCATTTGAAATATAAAGTCACCCAATTAGTATTTTTACAAATAAAAACATTTGAAACCACCTCTTGACTTGCAGTATTTATGAAGATGTCTTACTCTGCTCTTCTTTTTTTCATAGGAATCTGCTGCTGATTTAAATATCACCTGTAGGACACTTAGGAGAACTAAAACCAAAACCCAACTCTTTGAGTCAACAAATTATTATCAAATTATTTTTTTATTTGATGTGATTTCATTAGAATAGTTTAGTTCAAACCATTCCAACATTGTAGAATTTGAACCACAGCTGAATTTGGGTTAAAAGCTTTTTCTGATTAAAGATTACACGACCATACGTCCTTTCATGCATGATAGGGTTCAGGTCTATAAATAACGTTTTTATCTGACACTAAGCAATAAGGAACATCAATGAAATCACATCTCCCCCAGTTTGACTTGGTTTAACTTAAAGTTTGAATGCATTAGTTTGAGAGTAGGTCCAAAGGATGATGAGGTCTCTGTTAATGGGACGGGGGACAACATGCTGCATTTTTACAAGGAGTCAAAATGGATTTTAGGGTCAGAAAGGGAGGATGGCTGTTTTGTCCCTCTACTTACAACAGACAACAAAGAGAGGACACACCCCTGGACTTCCTGTGATATATGAGAATACACAAACACAGGTGACAGACAGACAGACAGACAGAAGACACTGGCATAACAAACCAGGACTGTGCACTGTTCAACAGCCTTAAGATGACAACATGAACTTACGATTTTAGGGGAGTTCTCTTCTTCTTAGCTGGTTTGTTCTGGTTTTGGTCCTCCAATTCCCCAATGTTGTCGTTGTCGTTTTCGTTATCATAGTCATTTGATGACATTTCCAAGGGGGCCGACACTCTGGGAGGGGAGCAGGCCATTTTGTTGGAGGATTTAAAGGGGTTTGAGGACTCATCAGTGTTAGGATCAAAGGTATATGGATGCCTGGACGATTTAGGGGAGTTGGAGATACTTTTCTTTGAAGAAAATGGATTGAAGTTTGGATCTTCCCACTTGTCTGGTTCAATGTTGTATGACACTTTGGGAATGGGGATTTCATCCGATCCGTTGTGATTTGCAGAGGTGTTGTTGTCAAGTTGCTCCACCTGTACTGGATGGGCTTTTTTTAGCCCCAGCTTTGGTTTCCTTGACAGCATCTTGGTGGGAGGCTTCTTACCAACTTTCTTAGGTGGAGGAGAGGCTTGCTGTGACGCCTCACCGCTCTCCTCAGAGTAATCAAACTCCAGTCTGACTGGCTGACGCTTCGCTAAAATGGGTTGCTCCTCAGGATTAGTAGGTAGCTCTTCAACAGAGGCTGTGGCAGTTCGGCAATGTGGTTCTGCAACCACAGCAGGACTCTGAGGAGGACTGGATGCAGAGCCACAAATAGGACCCTTACGACCCAGAACAGGAGAATTGGCTATTTTACTACCCCCAGTGTTAAAGGGGTCAATGTTCTCAAAGTTGTCAGGATCCCATTTGTATGAGGCACTAGGCGGGATTGGAGAGTTGTCTTTGTCTGCTACAGTCTCTACAGGAGGGGCTTCCTCCTGACACAAGGGTAACACAGGGTCTTTCCCTTTGCTCTGCTCTTGGCAGGTCTGAATAGTTTCTTCCAGAAGTGGAGGTGGAGTTTCAACACGGCTCTTTCTGGTTCTCCTGAGAGTTCCTGCAGGACTTGGCGTTGTAGAACAAACCTCTGGATCCTCCTGAGTCAGAAGAGGGCTAGCAGTCCGTGACTTTGTTCGCTTTGTAGTTTCTGGGGTGCTACTGGATGAGGCTGGCTTTGAACTGTCAGGGTTGGAGTTTTGTCTAAGAAGGGGCTTCTTCTTTACCGAACCAGGACTGACTTTCTTAGGTCTCCGGAGTTTTCCTGAGGTGTTCTCGGTGCCTACGCTAAAAGACTCCGAATGTTGACGGAAATCTCCTGATGCTGCTCCTTCCACTAGACCCGAGCAATCAAGTTCTCCACTCTGGAGGCTAAGAGAGCGAGTCAGAGTGTGGCTCGTCGGCTCAGCAGCGAAAAAATCAAAGTTATATGTCCCACTGGCAGCAATGGGTTTGTTCTCATCAAAAACAATGGATGGGGAGTGACACAGAGCATCTCTTGCAGTGAGGTCCGAAGTAAGATCGCCTTTAGAGCCGTTTACACCTGCAAAACATGGCATGGTTCGTTACATCATTTTATGACAAGGCAAGTTTATTTATTTGAAACATTTTAGTAACAACATATTTCAAGTGCTGTACATAACGAAGGCAAACACATAGAAGAAGGGGAATAATAAAGGGAGGAAAAGAAGAGTTGAAAACCTAAACTATTTCTTTATTTAACAGTTTGAAATGAACAGTAAAGGCCACTCTAAACAAATAATGTAAATATGCGCCCACATATATTGATTTCTGTCTCATAAAATTTGCATAGAATTCCCCAAAAAAATCTAATGAGTCATGGGTCATAAATACTTTTTAAGGAATTGTAGCCAGTCATTATACACATTTTCATCATTTATGTTTACAAATCATACTCTTTTTGAACAACTAAAAGGGAAAGTCAAGCACCTCAAGAGACAGGATTGCATAACAATCAATTTCTTTTCACTAATTGTATATAAAAATGTTTTTATAAAGAGTCCTGAGATTCATTTTGCTGAGAGCCAATCATGTCTTTGAAGTACAATTCAGTTTCCCTCCACTAGATGGTGCTACAACCTTTTTTAAGATACAGCATTTGAGGTAATTCTCACACTACATTACTCATACTGTACATTTGTCATCAGATTCTGGCTGCTCTCTTTGTGGTTCAGGAGGAGTAACGACCTTCACTGGGGTTGTAGATTCAGGAGTTTCAAAAGCACCATCAGAATCTGAGCTCCTAAAACAAAAAATACAGTAAAACTTAGAGTGGAAAGGGCTGTACAATCTCCACAGACCATATCTGAAATAACAAGTTAGGGCTTCACATAGGGCAGGGTTTTCATTCCAGGAAATCATCCAAGCAATTTAAATTAATCATTATTTTAAAAAAAAGAAAGCAAAAAACTAAACATTTAAATGGAAGACTGAAGAGATGTTCTTGAGCATGCACAATCACTGCTTTATATGCCAGCGCTGATATTTCAAAAAGGATTTGGAACTGAAAAGGTACACAATGTACAGCTGACTTCCAATAAATGTGATCTTACATAATCCTTACTAATAAATTAAACTGAAGATTATTACACACATATTGAGTAAAAATGTTTCCATTCTTTTGACTTGTTTTAGATTTTTACCTCGTTCAATACAAAAAGCATAAAGTATGTTAAAATGTTAAGCCCTAAACAACCTTTGGAGAGTAATTGATGCATTTCAGGAGGAGGAAAAAACACAAAAGGTCATTGCTACAGAAATGGTTTCTTTACAGAGTCCAGTATCAAAGCAAAATAAAAGGAAAATTAGGTGGAAGGAAAAAGTGGAAGCAAAAAAATCTGGGATAAACGCTAGCCTTAGTTTGAATGAGATGCTAACACCAATATTTGTGTAATGATTGTAAAGATGTCACATAACTGAAGGTAGAAGATGAGATAAACTTGCTTTTGAACCAGAGTTAAGTTGGTGTGAGGCATATCTTAAAGAAAACTCTTATATTTAACATGTAAATGTTTTTAAAATGAAGAAAAACCTTCACTTTAAAAACAAAATGTATGAATTTTTGTAGATTGCCTGAATTCATACTGCATACATATAATTTTACCACAAAGACGGCAATCAGAGGCACAATCATTAAAAGGTGAATAAGTGATTCAAGCTGTGTATAAATCAGCTAATTAGTTTAGAGCAAAGGGAGAAAAAAAAAAAAAAAGAGACCAACTATATTTGCATTATGTTTGCATCCGGCTTTGTAATCCAGGATGGAATCACAGTTTCACATGACGTAGCTAAACTTGCCCCAAAAAAAACTGAGTAAAGTCCCTAGATTTGTCTCTAAACACTTTTTGTGACAGAAAAAAAAATCAACAGGTGTCTGAAAAGTCCCCCAAATAAAATGAAAAGTGGCTAAGTTGGCATCACTGGACTACCATTTTCCGTGTTCCTTTTTTTCCACAAGGGAAGCTTCATATGCTTGTAGCTTTGCAGCAAGACAGAAAGAGGCAGGGATGTTGATTTTTCAGAATAAGGTAGATTTTAACATTTCATAATATTTTAATTCATTTAGACAGATTATTATTATTAGAGTAAAGGCTCAAATATACAGTATGCAATATAATATTCTTTAAATAGCTTTAATATTTTTTTATTCATTCTAAAATTGTTATGGCTTTTATTTTGCTCTGGTGCTGCAACACAGTCAAGTACATGTAGCAAAAATCATGTGTTATATACTATTAATTATGCTTTCTCAGTAAAATGCTACTACAGACAACATGGAGATATGTCATTTGGATTCAAAAAGGCAAAGTATCTGTTTTTAAATACGCAGATAAAGTGCCCCTGATTATTATATGTCATTAATGACTTTAAAGTTATTGATTGTTTATTTTTTTAAATTATACTGGACTTTATTGCTAGAAATAAAAAAAAAAGGAAAATCAGAGAGTATGAAATAACAACACACTAGAGACGCATGTATCCATCACAACAGAAACATTAGAACTCACTACCCCAATCTACCTCAGGGTATATGACATTATGGTATAGTATAGAAGGAAGTAAGGTACAAAAGAAAAACAAAATCAATAATTTTATGGCATGCACCCCCAGACATCTTACCAAGATCTGACTGCATCCCCAGCAGCCCTGATCATGTTGTCATGGCGAGAACCCCATGACAGACGCTGTATGAGCCCCAGAGCTGGATCAGAACCCGGGCTTTGAATCTCCCCTGCCCCTCCCAGCAGCGTGTCCCAGCCCCATCGAGCCCACTGCAGAGGAGACAGAGCCTGCCACGTACTCACTGCCATGGCTACCGACAGTCTGCACCGCGATGCTAACAGCACACAAGCAGCCAGGTGCCTCTAAAGATAACGCTCCAAGATCTGTTTTGCCTTTGCTGTCCAGTATATAGATTTCCTGGTTTCCAATATGCCTAACTTGCTTCTCTTTGTTTCCAGACACCATCAGTCTGTCTCCTTTTTCTCCAACTAGGAAATGATGTCTCGTCTGAGTCTCCCAATCTAAACTGTATTGTCTGCAGAAGCCCACCTTCCCCTACACTGAATAGTCCCTCGCTCTTTCTCTCTCTCTCCCACCCCATCTTTCTTCCTCTTTCTTCCTTTCCAGGAAGCAAAGCCAATGCTATTTTTTTGTTCAGCCGATACTAAATTAAATGATGTCCAACTAAATCATGACCATATTCAGGGTTTTTTCCCCCCAACATACACAAAAAAATTGTTATGAAGCCTAAATTGATCTAACCAATCTGCATGAGTTTACATTCCAACATTTCTGAAGTTTATTTGCAGATAACCGGGGTTATTTATCAAAGATACAAGCTTGGAAGGAATAAAGCTATAATCAAGAACATTTTTAACAGTCATTACATAGACAAAATTGATCCCGATTGTTTTGACACCAACGCAAGAGTTTTTACAATTCAATTAAGGATTCTCACCTAGTATCGGTTATTCCTGTTATTACTTTAGCCCATTTAGTATAATTGTCCTTTATGAAGTTTGACAAAGTATTTTTTTTTTTACAATTTTATAAAGGGTATAAAGGGTTATAAGGTGGTAAGTCATGGGTGTCCTGCATCATTTCTCTTTTCTTTTTTTTTGTGGGTTTTTTGAGCTCATTGAAGGTTGTTGTTTTTTTTTCTCATCTATTTTCTGTCATCCTGAGCTACTTTCATGGATAAATCACACCGTTTATTGAGATTCCCGCTGTGTCTCTCCAAAAAGAGCGAACGTGGCTGTTTGGCCTTGTGATTCAAAGATTTTACATTGTATTTTCCACAAAGTATTTCACCCTGCCACCTGTCTGATTCATGTCATTGGTGCCGATTCACATCCTAGGTCCTATGAAAGCATGGTTGCTGAAAAATGTGTGCAACTGAACCAGCCCCATATATTATAACCTGATTTTTTGTTGGATCAAATGCTAAATTTTATCTGGTGTATTCAGGTCTTAATTCCAGTAGAGCCCTTTTTGCATCAAGTTTACATTTTACATTTGTGCATGTGTGGGTTCTCCTCAGGAGCTTAAGCTTGAACTGAAATTTTTTAAATTGATTCATTGAGGTCAACTGAAAAGATTAGAATGAAAGTTTTGAAAACAATTTTGCAGGTAATTTCTGTGATATGAAATTTGTTTTCACAAAACTACACAGACAAAAAGAATATACTGTATGCATCAAATTAGTATGAAATAAAAAAATCTAATCTTTTATTTTAAGCCATATGGTCTAGCCTTGCCTTACACGGGTATAGAAATAAATAGGTAACACCTTAACCTGCTGAAGGAGACTCAGTAACCAAGCTCTGTTTTCCAGGACATCAACTGCATGGGATTAATTCTCTTATCCATATATTTATCTCTGTCAAGGCCAATTAAGTTTTTCCACACATACAATTGCAGCCATGGAACTGACAGGAACATCCAAATTTACTGCTTTGGTGGTGTGACAATATTACCAACATTATAATTACCGGTAGGGGTTTTAATCATCAGCATAAAAAAAACATTGGTACTTTTATTTTTAGCAAAATTATTACAATCAACATAATTTCCCTTATTATTTCTTAGCAAAATGATCATAAATGGTGTGTTTCTATGGTAACCTAAGACCTGGAGATCTTCCTCTCCATTTGTTCTAAAATAAAAAATTTAAAACAATTCCACATTGCAAAGTCAAGTATATTTTAAAAAAACATTAGTATATAGTCACTTGTAAATTACTGCTTACGTACGTATCACACAGAAAGCATATGGCTGGGTGAGGAGAGGAATATAAACAAAGAGAGCAGCATTTCACGGCTCTGATAGGCTGAGGAGGCTGCCTGGAGACAAGACAACTCTGTAGAGCCAGCCAGAAACATGCAGGCTGTCAGACAGCCAGATATGTCCCCTGCCTGCAGCCTTGTCTAAAGCATTATGCCTGACAGCTTTTAGTGCATGTCCAAGGCCACCAGAAAAAAAAAGGTAACAGCAAAACCAAATAAAATGCTGACTCAACATTTAAAAGCGAATAAATGGATAGAGATGAGCTACTAGTCTTCTTACAGGAGCTTGATTATTTTAACGTATCGGTGTGGAGCTGATCTGTTAAAAGGATTAACATTGACAATTCAGCACTGAAATGATTCTCCATCTAATTTACCACTTGAATTAATTGGAAAATAAAGGCTCTAAAAAATTCCATATGCTAAAAGAAAAAAAGATTTCAGAGATATATTAATGCCAAAACTGTGCATTAAATATGGACATTTTGCATTTAAGAAGAAAAACTTTTATCTCTAAATACACTTAATCCATATGTCCTTAGGGGGCATTTCTATGCTTTGAATATTTCTTTAACCTGTTTTTGCCATTTACATTCATTTATATTTTCAAGATGTATTTTTTTATCTCCACACTGGTTTATTAAGGTATATTATTTTAGCATAATATTAACTGCTTTTTAAAGCAGGAATTAATGATTAACTGCATCAAAGGCTTGGTAGAAAATCAAAGAAAACAATACATGACAATTTAAACAGAAGTTAGTTTATCAGTAAGCTGAAATAAAGCCATTTGCAGTAAGTGGAAAGATTCTCCCTTCATTCATATCGACGCTTAGATAGACTGAAGGATAATTCAGATGAAGTATAGATATCCTATGCAAGTTTTTATAACATTTTTTAAAACAAGGCAAGATTAAGATGGGGCTATACTTCTAAAGTGATCCTGGTTTTATTT